GTTGTTTTTTTAAAAAAAAATCTGTTTAAAATCTATTTACATGCCAGTTGCGGAATAGCTCAGCTGTCTCTTGTCTTTCCTTTAATCCTCGAGCAGCCATCAAAATACATACCCCTATTTCCATCTTACGGAGTCACTCAACTCAGGCTGCAAAGTGAGGCCTGCGTTAAGTAAGCGGCACCTTCTCCAGAAGAACCCAGCTGTTTATACGCCGAAACTGAAAATAGCAGCTCTCCTTTGAGGCTCAGAAAGCAATTTACAACGTGAGCCTTCTGATCTCCCACAGCTGAGAACCTCCCCCTTGGCAGAGAAGATGTATTTATTCCAATCAATTTGCAGAACTACTCCAAGACGGTTTATAGGAGGCGTCCGAAGCACGCATCATCCTGAAGGTGAATTTAATTGCGCGACAGGGCTCACACACAGGTCGAGGACTAATTGCGTTTGGTGCGTAAAGAGAGGTCCGTGTTTTGTGGGGAGAGCTGCCTTGCGGAAGAACGGCTCCTGCTCTAATTTGAGCAACTGCGGAGCAGAGCGGCTCTTTTGGGAAAAACCCTTTGCAAGCTCACACACACACACCACCCCCCCGTGGTGAAAACTAGGTTGGTGGGACTTTCCTTTCTCTTACCCCGGATATAAGAAACACTTTGCAGAAGTCCAGCACGGGCAAGATCTGCAAAAAACTGGCCGCTTCGAGGGTGTCCTGCAGGTTGTCCATGTTGAGGGAAAGTTTCGCCGTATAAATAAAATCGATGATCTTCTTCAAACCTATTTTGTTCACGCCGTGCAGCTTGATGCACATTAAGTCTTGCTCTTTCATCCCGCCTGGGAACAAGATTCAGACACAAGAGGGTTACAAGCCAGTCAGAGCCTCCTTAGGAAGAGTTTCTTCCAAACCGGAGAGAATGGGCTTCATCCCTGACATTAAGTGAACCCCCGAAAGAAACACCCAGAAAGTGGGGGGGGGGGGAATGTGTCCACTGGCCTCCTGATCCACCATCAGGGAACCCTACCTGTGAACATAGCCTTGAAGTAATCGCTAGCGGACGCCATCATTGCCCTGTGCACAGGGAACACTTCGTCTCCATCTCCTGGCACTAAGGTCACGTCACACAGTAACCCTTCTACGCGCAGCTGGTCAAAACCCTGCAAGACAGAACCGCCCACGTCAGCTCTGCTCCCCCTTGAACGAGGAGGCGCCGGCCCACGGGAAGCCCCACACAATTGGAGCTCCTGTTCCTGAGGCTGCAGAAGCAGTCCCGGCTCAGCGTCACTGGGGAACACACACACACACACACCCGGTCGGGGGAAGCGGGAGGCTGCTCTGCTCCTGCCAGCCAGAGGAGGAGGAGGTGGAGGAGGGTTATGATGTTAACCCCACTGAACCAAGGGCTTCTGGTGTTCCACAGGCAGGATCCTGGGGGAAGCTCCGGGAAGCTTTCGTGCTCGTTTTTCTTCACACCGGCTGCAGCTCTTCCCCAGGACTGCCCACCCAGCAATTCCCCCCCCCTCTGTAAAAACGCCCCCCAGGGGAAGAGAGCCCCGTTCAGCCTACTTTGCCTCTCTCAGACCAATTAGATCGCACAGGTTGGGTCTCCTCCGGATTCCATCTGCCAGCCAATGTTGGC